AAACTTTAAGGCTTCAAGTTGTCTGTTCTCTAAGAAATTTGTGTTTCGGTGTGTCTTTGGACGAAAGTCGAAAAAAAAAATAAATTTCTGTGGTCTGATTCTAAGTCGCTCTTCAAACTACTTGTTCTTGGTTGAAGAAGAGTCCAGAGGTGTGCGTGAATCTTGGTCAGCTATCTTGACGCGGTTTCAACACTGGGCGCTCATCTCTGCTTGTCGTCCACGGCTGATCTCATTTCTGTCGGTTGGGGTTTCGCTTTTATTGACGCCGTCAAAACTGGGGTGGGTCTGTTTGGCGTCGGGGGTTCTTCGATAATTCTAAATACATATCCACCCTTCTTATTTCTTGTTAGGGATTTTCCACTCTTTTCCATTTTTGGTAACTCTTTCCTCACTCCCACTTTCTCACCATGCTTCTGAGGGGCGTGTACCAACTTCCCCGCTTCTTCGTATCGACCCCTCACACTTACACTTCTGACAAGGGCGTCGACCGATTCTCCTCGTGCGTCACGTGACCGCTCTCGGGCAATGAGGTCCTGGTCGGGTATCTTTCCTCCTCCTTCGTGTGTCATGTGACCGTTTTCGGCCAATGAGGTCCTGGTCGGGTATCTTTCCTCCTCCTTCGTGTGTCATGTGATCTTATTTGGCCAATGACGTCTTTAGTCGGGTGTGGACAATCCGTGGCTTTGTTTTGGGGAAAGAAACACCTTGCTAAAAAAAAACAAAATATTAATTAAATCGCCCTTATCATGAACGACCGAGATGACGCTCTCGGCTTTTTAACACGTGGTATTTGTCAAGCAGTTTATCGCTAATTGGATATGACCTAAGAAAGGGATTTCTCAGACCTGTTGGCGTTTCCGTGAACGAATAAAAATATTTCACTTTTTCCCGGCCAAAGGCCCGATAATAAAAATTTTCATTATCTCAAAAAAAACATTTTCAGCGAACATCATCTTGTGTGGCTTTTTCCAATTCTGGAAATTGTCTGTGTTTTCGTATTAATGGTTTGTCTTCATATCCTTAGATACACTTCCCCACCCACTTAGACCTCTACTATCACTCCAATGACACACTTTCCACCTGCTACCTATCAATATTTTTCATTGTCCCTAAACTTTGTTTCTTCAACCATTTGATAACCACTTCCATTTTTCGTGGACACGGAAGTAGGTCAGGTGCTTGACCTGATATTTTTCGACATCTGGTATCTGTCAGCGGTGCCCGTGTGTGTTCGCTTATGACCTGGTTTCGTATTATGTTTTCTTTCTTTCTTCTTCGTTTTCTCTTTCTTTCTCCCAGATCGCTTGAATGTAAAGAAAGAATTATTCTTAAAACCCAAAATATTTTTCGGCTTTAAATAATTATCAAATGGTTGATAAACCGTAAAAAACAAATCATATATCTATGAATATTTCTTTCAAATTGTCAGGATATGCATGGTGCCACACGAGTCAAAATTCGCAAATAATTGTTATGTAACAATTACACGGTAGATATAAAAATAGTTACAAGTGTTTACCCACCGTTCAACCGGTGGCTGGGAGTTAAGTCATTTTTTTCTCTGCAACTATTCAACCGGTGGCTGGGCATTACGTCATTTTTTTCCTATCACCATAAAGCGGTAGTCAGGGCTCAAAGGGTTAAGAAAGATTGACGAAAAGGAATGAAAGAAGGAAAGGAAACTGGAAAAGTAATGTCTTTCTTTCTTGACCACGGAGGAGACGGAAATAAGGAAAGAGAAGTAAAAAAATATTAACACTTTGAACCTCTGGACAGTTTTAATCCTTCTGCCTTTCGTTAATTCACGAAATAGTATCCCTCATATCCGGAAGCCCTCATATACGGAATCCCACATATCCGGAATCCCACATATCCGGAGTGCCTCATATCCGTAATCACGAGTATCCGGACATGATTTTGATGTATATATTTGAAATTCAATCCCCCTACTGTGCTATGTGTCCTTGAGGACACACGGCACAGTGGATAAAGGCGTTAGTTAGGTCCAGTGACAGTACCCAAAAGAGTATGAGTTCAATACCTGGTTAAGGCGGTGGAGAACTTGGAGAGGGGATAACTTATAATTGACATCCATTAGATATGGCACGAGGAACTAGAACAGTCTAAACCCAGTGTGCGAAATAAAGGGTTCAGTTCGATATTGCAACCACCTGAAGAAGACCGGAGCGTACGACGGCCGAAATATTTTGATAAATATGGCAACAAAAATGAGGACAATAGTCTGAATAATGTAAATAGTATAAAAATAGTTGCAAGTGTTTACCCACCGTTCAACCGGTGGCTGGGTATTTAGTCATTTTTTCTCTGCGACTATTCAACCGGTGGCTGGGCATTACGTCATTTTTCTCTATCATCGATCAAATCGGTAGTCAGGGCCCAAAGGGTTAAGAAAAATTGACGAAAAGGAATGAAAGAAGGAAAAGAAACAGAAAAAGTAATGTCGTCTTTTCTTTCTTGACCACGGAAAAGACGGAAATAAGGAAAGAGAAGTAAAAAAAAATATTGATTAACACTTTGAGCACTGCGTTTCTGAACAATTTGAACCTGGAGCTTCTGAGTCAAAGTTTGCAAATAATTGGTATATAATGTTTCCGGGTAGATATAAAAATAGTCACAACTGTTTATGCACCATTCCACCCGAATCTGAGCATTAAGTCATTTTTCTCTACCACCGTTCAACCGGTGGCTGGGCATTATGACATTTTTCTCTACCACCGTTCAACCGGTGGCTGGGCATTATGCCATTTTTCTCTACCACCGTTCAACCGGTGGCTGGGCATTATGCCATTGTTCTCTACCACCGTTCAACCGGTGGCTGGGCATTATGCCATTTTTCTCTACCACCGTTTAACCGGTGGCTGGGCATTAAGTCATTTTTTCTCTACCACCGTTCAACCGGTGGCTGGGCATTATGCCATTTTTCTCTACCACCATTTAACCGGTGGCTGGGCATTAAGTCATTTTTTCTCTACCACCGTTCAACCGGTGGCTGGGCATTATGCCATTTTTCTCTATCACGGGTAAAGCGGTGGTTAGCACTCAAAGGGTTAAAAGGTTATAGCAAAACAAAATCACTTTTTAAATGTGTAACGATATTTAAATTAAAATTGAGCAAAAAAAAATTATATTTTTATTTAATAATTTTTAGCGATTTAAACATTATAGAATATTTATCTCGGCATATTGTGTATTCTATTTTAAAATTATAATTTTACTGATCGAATTTTACAGGTATTGTTAATCATTTTTAAATCACATAAATCAGAAATAAGATGTTTATCTATACAATAAAATTGACGTAATGTATATATATATATATATATATATATATATATATATATATTGCGTAAGCAATACATATTACACACACATATATATATATTGCGTTTAAGCATGAAACAGACTGTCGCTGCCGTGTGTTGACCTCAATGTCCACTTTTATATTTACATCCGCTCTACCCATGATATGGAATATAAACTCTTATATTTTACAGCCAATAAATGAATCACAAACAAGAGACGCCTACAAATAAATCTCAGTAAATACGAAAAACTTTATTTTACATTTCTGTACAAACACGGCTCCAAAATTAAATAAGAGCATTCTGGAACCTGATTAGGTATGACAAGTCACGTGATGTACTCTTTACGTTAAACGCCAAATGATCTGGAAAAAAGTTACGGCTCGGATTACCGAGTACATTCCCATGCAAAACTCAGCGATTCGGAGCCGACCCATAGCGATAAAAACGACTCGTCAGCAACAACCAGGACCTGATCTTCGAAGGACGGCTAACCAGACCATGTCTCGATCAAAAAAAAAAAAAATCATAGACACACGTACTATGACAACGCATTAGTCAGCGATGAGTTTTTTTTACATATAGAAGCCCGCAACGAAAGTAAGTCCTGTATCCCCTCTCTTTGTTCACTGTGTTTTGAAATTACTGCTATCACACGCAATCAGACAGCAGTCACAGATATGTTTCACACACACACACACACACATTGGCGTACCATACCACTTGATTTCCTTGTAACAAAAACACTTCGAAACTTTGCAGACTCACTTGCGACAAATCATTTCGAACAATCGAACTATTGATCTCTTCATGACCACAACAAAGAACATTGCTTTTTAATATGTAAATACGTGTATCTGACTGTATAAATGTTACTTTCATATTTAGCTTGGTCTTCTTCCTTTTTTATTCATTCACTTGATAATTAGGCACTTAAAATTATCCCTTGACAAAATGATATCACACACAACAACAACAACAACAATAATAATAATATGGAAACTTTAAACAACGGTTATACCTGTTGTGACAGGGGCACTGGGTATGAATGATAAATCATGTAAGTAAAATTCTTGGGCATATCAGCATCTCAGAGCTACAAAACATTACTTAACTGCACATAACAGACGCAAAACCCTCTCCATTTAAACGATACGTGCCAAATGTGTATAGATAACTCACCTACACTGCATTTTTTATACATAGACCTCGAAGGGAATTGGTAATTAAGCACTTAAAATTACTCGCTTGCAAGATGACATAATAATAATAATAATAATAATAATAATAATAATAATAATCCCTGTTGTAGTTGGAGCCCTAGGATTGGTTGGAAAAGATTCCAGTAGACTAATTGAAGGGATTCCTGGAAGTCCATGCCTCAAAGAGATAAAAAAATTGTTCTGACAAGTACAGCCCACACTTTACGAAGTGCTTTATCTATGTAATTCTTTTTTGTCAGTGGAAAGTGTCATGAAGCCATTTCTAAACTTAGGTCCCTAGGCGGGACCCGGAAAGAAATGTGTAAACGCCAGAAATCAAAGGAAATAAAAGTAATATATTAATAATGTATACGAATTATAATTCATGCATTTCAATGAATAATGAAATATTTTGAGATGCATTAAGGAATTTAAATTAGAAAAATGTTTCTTCGCAGCTTTGGAAAACGTGTTTTCAATTGATAAAAAGAAGTTGGACATTTCCATTTTCCTGTCGAACGTGAAGGGACGTACGAATGAAGAGAGAGAGATAGATAGAGAGAGAGAGAGAGATAGAGAGAGAGAGATACAAAGGGAGAGAGAGTAGTTGAAAGAGAGGTTGAAAGAGAGAACTAAAGAGAGAGCGGATAGAGTAGGGCTATCAATAGGGAGACGGGCTAAGAGAAACAGAGAGTGGAAGTAAGTAACGATAAAGTGACAAGGTGTGTGTGTGTGTGTGAGAGAGAGAGAGAGAGAGAAAGAGAGAGAGAGAGAGAGTAGTTGAAAGAGAGGTAGGATAAAAGAAAGATAAAACTAAAGAGAGATAGAGGATAGAGTAGAGTTAACAATAGAGGGACAGGGAAAAGAAACAGAGAGTGAGAGGAAGAAATGTTATGACAGAGAAGTGAGATAAGAGAGGGCTAGAATTTGTAAGAGAGGTAGTTTAAGAGAAAGAGGGAACTAACGAGAGAGAGAGAGAGAGAGAGAGAGAGTGCAAAATCTAGGGGTAGCATAGGCAGGCTAAGAGAAGCAGAAAGTGAGAGGAATGAGAAGAAACGATAGACAGGCTGTATAAAAGAGAGAGGGGCAGAGAGGATGGGAATGTTTAGAATATCATGATATAATACAAAACGAGGGTAATGCAGATAGACATTGACCTGGTCTATAGCGAAAGCAGTTACGTATTTTCAATTAGTGCCTGTGGCCAGAGTTCGTGCCCAGGCAAAATACCGGTTTTAAAAACTCGAAAGCTATCTTTACCAGGAAGACTGACATAATGCAGATTTCCCAACTAATATTTTCTACCAATTTGTTTTGTATAGTACAACAAAGCAAAACGTATTAGATAGATATATAGAAAGTGTGTGTTTGTGAGAGAGGGGGGTTGAAAGAGAGGTAGGATAGGGGAGAGTGTGATAGAATGAAAGAATAAGTGGGGATAACAATGGAGAGGCAAAATAAAAGAAACAGAAAGTGAGAGGTAAAGAGATGTAGCGATAGCGATGCAGAATGAGAGAGAGGGGTAGACAGAGACAAAGATTAAAAGAGAGGCAGTTTAAAAAAGAGAAAGACAACGGGAGATAAAGAGTAAGTAGATATAGATAACAAAAAAGAACTAAAGAGCGAGTGAGAGGAAAGAGAGGTAAAAACAGTGTATACAGACACAAAAGTGTGCTCTCTCTCTCTCTCTCTCTATATATATATATATATATATATATATATATATATGCTCCAGCATGAAAAAACATAATGATTTTGGATGCTCAATTTGTAAAAAAAAAAAAAAAAATTTGTAAAAAGAATAGCAAGTTGATTATTTTAAAAACATTAACAATAAAAAAGTTTAAACTAAGTTACCACCCTTACACATTTTTAACGTAAATTGGCTATAACAGAACGCGTTTTATGCACATTTACAAAAAAATTCACAACTATCAATTGCATAAATGTTTTGTTTTAGCGATTAACTCCTGAAGAAATAATCAAAACTACGGCGTCTTTCATAATCAGTTTTGTAACAACACTAAGAAATTGATCTGTGAATTTGAGAGGATTAAAAAATAGCCATAATATGTCTGCATTATGCTTGAATGAAGATATGAAGATAATATATATATATATATATATATATATATATATATATATATACTTTATTGATTAGTTTGCATTGATCATTGTATTTACTTATTCTAATTTTTTTCTCTAAACATAGTCTTCATCTATCTCTAAAGCTATTAAGAGTATGTGCCAAACCTATGATTTTCCAGTCTGTTTGCGAGTTTAGACCCTCTTCATTCAATTTCCAAAATTTCTTTGAATGGGCTGTTTGGAATTTTAGTTTAGGATTGGTAAATGAGTGCCTATAGTTATATATTCTCAGTTTTATTTATCCCGCAGAAATTCCAATGTAAACATTATAATTTGTAATATTTTCTTTGGGGGCAATGTTTGTCTGGTATATTACCCTAGTAGACTTGCATTCTCCTCGACTGGACAGTTTTTTCCGATCTTTAGAGTTACAGGGTGGGGGTTCCTTACTAGATTTATTTTTTCCCATAGAATTGACTTAAGACATAATTGTCATGGGATTTGATAATTTGGTACAAGTTGTTAGCGCAGGAGTAACTAATTTTGACCGATTTCCTATTGAAATTACTTAGAGTGTTGTTTTTGTTTAAGTGTTTATTTATTAATTTTAGAATGTGCTGTCACTTTTAGATATCACTATCCATTTTAGGGACAGCACTTCCTAATTTTAGAGGTAATTTTAGAATTTTTGGTGTATGAAATATATGTTGTGTTATAATAAATGCATTGGGCTCTTTCTGTGGATCAGTTTTAATATCTGGTATTACTAGGATCCACCTGGAGTATGTACCAACGGATCTATGACCTGTAATATATATATATATATATATATATATATATATATTATAAAGAGATAATCATACATTGAATCAATTATTAATATTAATGCAATTAAAGGCAAATTCTCTTCGCTAATATAAACATTAACCTACTAACAATCCACTGAATGATGCGATCCTTATGTATAAAATTCAGTGGATTGTTAGTAGGTTAATGCTTATGTTAAGTCGGTTAGCGAAGAGATTTCGCCATTAATTGCATTAATATTGCTAATTGATTCAATGTATGATTATCTCTTTATCATATAAAATATATGCTGCCTAATATAATACGCTTATATATATATATATATATATATATATATATATATATATATATACAATGTGCGATGCATGAATTGTCGTCTAAATTACGCAAAAATGAAAATTTTAACATCTTTTAACAAATATATTTACCAAAATTACACAAAAATATCTTGAAATACTAAAGATTAAATTTATTCAATAAAATCGACATTGGCTTCAACTACGGTCTCCAGACGACTTCGGAATCTCCTGCAACTCTTCTGGTCGGGCTCCTTGTTGGTGAATGCTGCCATAATGCTTGCCTTCACTTCATCTTTGGCGTTACAAGGAATTTTGTAGGTCTCTCGCTCAACTGCGACCCCATACATAATAATCAAGAGGATTGCAGTCTGTGGAATTAGGTGGTCAGATGTAAGAGGTGATGTGGTCGCAGAAATTGTCTGACAGCCATGACTGTGTTCTCCTGCTTATGTGGCATGGTGCAGAGTCCTGTTGCCAGACATAAGGTCATCCAGCAGCCACCCTCTTGATCGAGGACAGCAATACCTTCTCAGTCTGAGGTCCTCAACAACAATTTCGGGAGTTCTTTTCTTATCAGAGTGAGTTTTCCGAGCTGCCGTACCATTAGACTCATTCAACACTTTCCGAATCTTCTGCACTATATATATATATATATATATATATATATATGAAGAAAAATATATGGAAAAACAGAAATCGGAATATGCAAGTATGCTGTCTTAATGTTGTTTCAATGTCGAAGTCAGACGTTTCGGTCTGGTAGACCTTCTTCAGGACATAGTTAAAAGAAGGTCTACTAGGATTTTTGTTTTTCCATATATTTTCTTCATACTGTCGGATCTATATCCACATATTTCTTATATATATATATATATATATATATATATATATATATATATATATATATATATATATATATATATATTCACATCCATCACAGAACGAGGAAGAAGAGCAAGAGAGATCGGAAGCGAACTACTTTACCTGACGAGTTTGTATGAGTAGATAGTAGACCTGAGGGTGGGAGCCTTAGCAAAAATAGAAAACTTGCTAAGAGTCACAAAGAATAGTAAGCTTTGGAGAGCCATGATCACCCATGTCCTCAAGGAACGTGGCGCATAAAAGAAAATTTACATTCATGTGCAGTGCGTGCATTAGTAAATGAATGTTTGCAGAGTTACAAACATGTTGGTTTGTAATTTACGCTAACGGAATGACTACCATATCGTTTGATCCATTAGATATGGCATTAAATGTACCATTCGTCCATATTTTGAATGTAGCTGCCATATATGGACCGCAGATCCTGGTGTATATTCAGTGATTCATGATAAAATCCAAAGAAGAATCAGCAATGTTATGACTCCTGACCTGGCATCTCGCCCTTTCTATAAATACTTTCAGCGTAACTGTTCGGATGACATCTTCGCTATGATATCCAGATTTTATGAATTTAACCGTAGTACTAGATTGGCAGCAAGGTCTCATTAATTAACACTTGAAATGATGTAACCATAAATTCTATACAATATTTACATTATTGTCCTCATCTTTGTCGCCATATTACAACGCTCCGGCCTTCTTCAGTTGGTTGGAATGTCGAACTTTATTTCGCTCACTGGGATAGACTGTTCTAGTTCCATAAATTATAAACCTAATGTCTTCAGCAATCAATTTCTTATTGCATGTTTAATGGATAATTTTCCTCTCCAAGTTCTCCACTGCCTTAACCGGGTATTGAACTCACACTCTTTGGGTCCTGTCACTGGATCTAACACCTTTATCCACTGTGCCATGTGTCCTGTGTATGAATTTCTGGGTATTATAAACCTAATGTCTTCAGCAATCAATTTCTTATTGCAATTTTTGCTGTTATCACAACATGTTTTTACCAGAGCTCATATTGCAATTTTTTTGTTATTATCGCTTTTCTCTAGTATTCCTTATTACTGGTTCCCATATTCTATTCATTTCTATGTTTAGTCGGTTCAGGGGATATTGTGGCCTAGAATATGTGCTGATTCCTTAAGTTTACGAATTTTCCAATAGTGTTCTTTGTCCATGATCTCAACCTGATCCCATAGAGAGCGGTGATCTCCTTTTTCTCTCCATATGTGATCAGCCACGCCTGATTTTTCCACTTCCCCTCGTGTTACAGCTTTCTGGTGTTCTTGAAGCCTTACCTTAAGGGGGCGGCCTATCTCCCCTTTATATTTCTTTCCGCAGCTGCATGGGATAGCGCACACACAGTCTTTAGTCATGTTCTCCTCTATGGGGGGGTCTTACTCAGGAGAGATATCTGCGAAGTGTTGTCAAGATTTGAAGGTTGTCTTGATGTTATATGGACCGCAGATCCTTTGTATTTTCTATGATAACCCCTTCACATAAGGCAGGCAGACTGTTTTCGGAGTGTTGTTGTCCTCCTCTTGTACCTGCCTATCCCAATTTTGGGGGGCTGCTGCCATGTACCCAGGGTAGTTGTTACGTTGTAGGGTACTACTTATACCAACCAGTTCTTTATCTAATGTCTCTGGGTCGCCACATGACTTTTGCTCGGTGTTGTAAGCAGCGGACGATCTCTTTCTTTACGCTGTATGGATGGTGGGAGTTGAAATTGAGGTACTGTCCGGTGAATGTCGGTTTACGATATACGGATGTCTTAAACCCATGCTCTGTTCGAGATATTAGAACATCTAGGAATGGGAGTGTGTTGTTACTCTTTTCTCCATTGTGAACTGTATCGAAGGTCTTATTGAGTTCACATTGTCCAGTAGAACCTGAACCTGGTGTGGCCAGAGTATGAAGGTGTCATTTACGTACCATAACCATATAGTTGGCTTTAGAGATATAGATTCTGATGCCATTTCCTCAAATTATTCCATGTACATATTCGTCATTGCTGGTGATAATGGCGAGCCCATTGCTAAGCCCTCATCCTGTCGATATATGTGTGATCCCATTCCGAAGTGTGTTGTTTGTGTACGGAAAGTCAATATCTCCATCAGATTATCTATTGGAACACTGGTCCGTTCTTCTAGGGATGAGTCAGAGGCCAATCCCTCTCTGACTACTGAGTGTGCCTCCTCCGTGGGTACCTTGGTGAACAAACTCACCACGTCCAAGCTCACCATCTGATTGGATAGGATGGGAGCATCTTTGATTATTTCCACGAAGTGTGCGGAGTTTCGGACATATGAAGGAGACTTTCCAATCAATGGGTCAATTATATCTACAAGGAAGCGACTCACAGGGTGGCACTCACAACCTTGGCAACTAACAATCGGCCTGAGCGGAATACCGTCTTTGTGAATCTTAGGGAGACCGTATATGTGAGGTAGCTTGGTGTAACGCTGTGATAATTGCCGATACGCCTTAGGTGCGAAGTGATCCTAGTTCTTGATTAGTATCTGTGACAGTTTGCGTTCCGTTTTCATTGTAGGATCCTTTTTTACTTTGCTGTAGCTACCATTGCTAATGAGGTCTTCTAGCTTTCTTCTATCTATCTATCTATCTATCTATCTATCTATCTATCTATCTATCTATCTATCTCAGTCTGTTCTTATCTATCTATGTATCTATCTCGGTCTGTTCTTATCTATCTATCTATCTATCTATCTATCTATCTATCTATCTATCTATCTATTTATCTATCTATCTATCTATCTCAGTTTTTTCA